GGGGTGAATCCATTATTGTCAGGGGGGGCAGGGTGAGTCCATTACTGTTTATTATAGCAAGAGTCAGCTATAGAAACTGTCAGGCATTTCCTGAACTTTTGACAAATTTTTACAAATTCTTGAACTGAACTGTTTTTGTTCCTGGCACAGAAATCTCCACCCGTCCGTTCCAGTTGGTGACAGGCCGGGTGTGGAAGGGGACGGCCTTCGGAGGTTAGTCTGCGGCTTTATACTTTATCATGCCATTGTGCTATACAAGGTGAAACCTGTGCTGTTTTCTGTGGTATACCCGTTGCTGTACAGGTTGGAAGAGCGTGGACAGCGTGGCCAGGCTGATGGAAGAGTATCAGCTGCTGTAACCTGTGCTGTTTTTCTGTGTTGTACCCTGTATAACTAGTGCTGTTTCCTGTACTTAGGTTGGAAAAGCGTTGACAGCGTCCCTAAGCTTGTGGAGGAGTACCAGGCAGGGAAGATCCAAGTTGACGAGTTCGTCTCCCACAACTTTCCGCTGGACAAAATCAACGAGTCATTTCACCTGATGCATGCTGGGGAGAGGTAGGGCAAGGCATTCTGGGTGTCCTTATATGGGAAGGGGTTGCGAGAAAATGCTGGTTGTCATAAAAAGACATAATTTGTTTTGTGATGAATTCAGTACCTTTCATTAGGGACACTGAAACGCTCTTGAATTCAGGAGGTTGTGGCCACTGAGTTAAGGAAATATAATACCTGGAGGATGTCTAACCTTCATTGACGTAATTTACGTGATGCATATGATCCTTATTACAAAACTTCTTTTTCTTTTTCTTTCCAGTATCCGGTCTGTGGTCCACTTCTGATGCTGCCATCTGCACAATCCAGACTGAACCAGTTATAACTGGCTGTAACCAGTTACACCCGACTGAAACCAGTTATAACTGGCTTAAGAAAACAGTTGGACTGTTTCTGACCAGCTTTATGTCTCCAAGACAGATTTTTGATGCTTTCTTTGTGCCTTGTGATGTGTAGAATGTTGCACAGCAATAAAAACAGAGAACAGAATCCGATTTTTTTAATGTGGTTTACTTTCTTGTCTTCAGGCCTGAGGTAAAGCTGCTTAAAGTTTCCTGCTCCTTGTCTAAGTATTGTCTCAGTTTTTAAATTCTTTAAATACAATTATATAAATTATAATATATCAACACACTCACTCACTGTCTGGTTTATCGTCTGTTGTTCCCCGTCTTCCGAGGGTTAATGATAAGGTCCCCCACAGTCGCTTACTGAATAAGCTCCAGCACTATGGCATTTCTGGCAAATTGCTAACATGGCTACAAGCTTTTCTCACTCAAAGAAGCCAATCAGTTGTCCTTGATGGTGTGGCCTCTAAGCCCGCCAAGGTAGTGTCTGGAGTACCGCAAGGCACTGTTTTGGGTCCGCTTTTGTTTCTCCTTTATATCAATGATCTTCCGAGTGTTGTGACCTCTAGTGTGCGTTTGTTTGCCGATGACTGCCTGTTGTACCGGGTTATTGAAAAACCCTCAGATGCTCTTGATCTACAAAAAGATCTCGATGCACTGACCCGGTGGCAGGACACATGGCAAATGTCCTTCAACCCCTCAAAGTGCCACACACTTCATATTACTCGTAAGCGTAACCCGATTATTACACAATACCGATTATGTTCAGAAAATCTTACTAGTGTTAAAACCCATCCATATCTTGGAGTCCAACTATCACAGGATATGAAATGGGACACACATATAAATTATGTCACTGGTAGAGCTAATAGGATACTGGCAGTCATCCGCCGTAACCTTTCGCACTGTCCTCTTCGTGTCAAATCTACATGCTACAGAACACTTGTACGCCCACACCTGGAGTACTGTGCGACTGTATGGGATCCCCACACCATCGGTGGTTCCCAGGCGTTGGAGCGTGTCCAACGAAGGGCGGCGCGAATGGCTGTTAGTGATTATGACTATACCAGCAGTGTTTCTGACATGCTAAAGCGCCTCCAGTGGCCGTTACTTGTTGACAGAAGGAGAACCGCTCGCTTGATATCTTTATATAAAATTGCTCATGGACATATTAATATTCAAATGGAACAATACCTCAAACCTGCCCATAGGCGTACCAGAGGAAGTCATGAATATAAGTATCAAGCAATACCTGCCAAAACAGACTGTTTTAGATTTTCTTTTTTTCCAAGAACGATAAATGAGTGGAACAAGTTACCGGGCCAGCTTGTAAAAGCCCAGACAGTGGAGGCCTTCAAGGCTGGGCTTCTGGCCGCGCAGCCATAGTCCGTCGCACCCCCCCCCTCTCAGTGATACCCCAGTAGGGGTGGTTAGAGAGTACTCAAGAAGAAGAAGAAGAAGGTTAGATGTGCTTGCACTGCAATACTGAGGCTTGATGGCAGCACGCCACTTGCCTCTGTCCTGTGGGTTGATCTCGTCTAAGTTCAGGTGGTGGAGGTCCTCCCGGGGTTGTCGTACCATTTCCTCCTAGGGCGACCACGGGGGTTTGGACCCGCCACATCTAGTGTGAGGATCCTCTTTGGCCATTTGGCCACTATATTATACACTCATTAGTTGAACATTCTTTCCAAGCAGAGGTTTAGGCTTATTTAACTTGATACTGTCTTGCCAATTTGATACTGTCTTGCCAATTTTATACTGTCTTGACAATTTGATACTGTCTTGTCAACTTCATACCGCCTTGCAAATTTGATACTGTCTTGACAATTTGATACTGTCTTGACAATTTGATACTGTCTTGCAGATTTGATACTGTCTCGACAATTTGATACTGTCTTGATAATTTGATACTAGTGCCTTGACAATTTGATACTACTAGTGCTTTGACAATTTGATACTGTCTTACCAATTGATAATGCCTTGCGGATTTGATACTGGCTTGGCAATTTGACACTGTCTTAATCAATGTTCAGATATAATTTATTATTTGGTCACATCACTTACAGCAGTGGTAAGACAGAACTGAAGATCACAGCCTCAGAATGGGTGGATTTGAAAGTCTTTATTGTTATTTCAAAGTTGCAGGTTTCACACACACAATCTGAGAACCAGGTTTTGCTTGTACATCTGTCATCTGAAATATCTAATTCTGAAAATGGTTGTAATTATGTCCGAAATAATTTCATCAGGTTGGTAAACGACTGAATAGCAAAGTTCTTTTTATCACAACCATTTATTTTTCATGACAGGGCATAAATTGCCCTGATGAAGATGACAGACGGTCATTGAAACATCGGCTAGTGAAAAATAAAATGGTTGTGGTAAGAAGAACTTTGCTATTCGGTTGTAATTATGGTTGTACATCTGTTGTTTGAAATATCTGAAAATGGCCTTAACTACGCTTGTCCATCTGCCATCTGAAATATCTAAACATGGCCCTAACCATAGTTGTACATCTGTGGTTGGGAATATGTGACAGTGGTTGTGTCGGCTTGCCACTTAACAAGCCACTTAACGAGCTACAGAACTGGCAGCTGCCCTTCAGACCCGCTAACCGTCCAGGAAGTGGCCCGCTAACCGTGGTTTAAAACAAAAGGGTAAAGGTGACATGATTTTTCCAGACATTTAGATTTTGTTGGACTGGTACACAGCCCTACATGTAACGGCTAAGCCTGGCCCCAGGCCGGCTAACTGTCAAGGAAGTGCGGTTTCCCGTCGTTGTCGCGGCGCCGGGTCAGCACCTCGCAGCCGACCTCCGTCACCAGCAGCGTCTGCTCGAACTGCGCTGACCGCTTCCCGTCAACCGTCACCGCCGTCCAGTTGTCCGGCCACGTGTCGTCGCGCCACGTTCCCTCCGAGATCATCGGTTCGATGGTGAAGGTGTGGCCAGGCTTCATCACTCCTATAGCCTTGTTCTCTGTAACATACAACATATAACATACAGGCTTCATCACTCCTTTAGCTTTGTTCTCTGTAATATACAACATTCAGGATTTATCATGCAACATAAACACACAGAACAGAAATCATCGGCTCGATGGTGAAGGTGTGGCCGGGCTTCATCACTCCTATAGCTTTGTTCTCTGTACAAAACAGAACACACAACATTGTTCTCTACAACATACAACATTTCAACACACAGCACTATGTGTCATCACGCCACGTTCCCTCCGAGATCATCGGCTCGATGGTGAAGGTGTGGCCAGGCTTCATTACACCTATAGCTTTGTTCTCTGTAACATACAACATTTCATCTCATAAACACACAGAACAGAGATCATCGGCTCGATGGTGAAGGTGTGGCCAGGCTTCATCACTCCTATAGCCTTGTTCTCTGTAACATACAACATTTCATCTCATAAACACACAGAACAGAAATCATCGGCTCGATGGTGAAGGTGTGACCTGGCTTCATCACTCCTATAGCCTTGTTCTCTGTACAAAACAGAACACACAACATTGTTCTCTACAACATACAACATTTCAACACACAGCACTATGTGTCGTCACGCCACGTTCCCTCCGAGATCATCGGCTCAATGGTGAAGGTGTGACCGGGCTTCATCACTCCTATAGCCTTGTTCTCTGTACAAAACAGAACACACAACATTGTTCTCTACAACATACAACATTTCAACACACAGCACTATGTGTCGTCACGCCACGTTCCCTCCGAGATCATCGGCTCGATGGTGAAGGTGTGGCCGGGCTTCATCACTCCTATAGCTTTGTTCTCTGTAACATACAACATATAACATACAGGCTTCATCACTCCTATAGCCTTGTTTTCTGCACAAAACATAAAACATATCATCACACCGATGGCCTTGTTCTCTGTAACATACAACATATAACATTCACACACACGACAGGCTTCATTACTCCTATAGCTTTATTCTCTGTAACATACAACATACAGGCTTCATCATGCAACATAAACACACACAACAGAAATCATCGGCTCGATGGTAAATGTATGGCCTGGCTTCATCACGCCGGTGGCCTTGTTCTCTGTAATATAAAACATTTCATCACTCCTATATGGCTTTGTTGCACCTACCGCACACAGGTGTATTAGTCCATACATTTGCTAGCTATTTTTAAGTGCACCTACCACACACAGAAACTTTTATCAAATGAGGTAAAACATGGCAGAGTAAAGGGTACCTACTTGCATAATGTGGAACACTGGGAGCCGTGTGGAACAACCTACAAACAAACAAACAATCACATGACTGTGACAGAAAGTGAGAAGATCACATTTCTTATTCTGTAAGGTCATGATAGGGGTTTGTAATATACCACATGTGAGCTGGAGTAAGGCCATGGCAGGGGTTTGTAATAGACCACAAAGTGAACTGGCCATGGTAAATGCTATGCTACAGAGATACTCACTGGTTGATGCTCATAGTATATATTATATATGTCAATGTTTAGAGTTGGATGTTCATTCGGGGTTATGTAGCAGCCACGAATGTGCCTGTGAAGCTGGTTTGCGATGCCGAAGGGCGGTTATACTGGCTATACTTATACAGAATAATGTAAGTTCGATACTCGATGGTTGATATCCACAGTACATTGTATATTATAAGACTGGTACTGATTGATGCCGTGCCCACAGTATGGCAGATACTGTTCGATATCCACAGTACATTGTATATATTATAAGACTGATACTTACTGGTTGATGCCGTGCCCACAGTAAGGCAGATACTGTTCGATATCCACAGTACATTGTATATATTATAAGACTGATACTTACTGGTTGATGCCGTGCCCACTAGTAAGTCTTGACCACAGAGAAGCCGTTGGCCTGCGCATGTTTCTGGATTATGTTGCCCACTTCTCGGTACCTCACTCCTGGTTTTACTGCAGCAGGAAAAATCATTTATTAGGATCTTTTGTCTTCCTCTGCCTTCAAAAAAGAAGTCAAGCCCAGTATATAGCTTTTAGAAGTTTAGCAGTATTTCTTTGTGTATCAATTTGCCTGTTCTAACGTACTTGTTTTAAATTCTGTACTTGCAATTAGCCCTCGGGTGAATGCAGGAGTTTTAGGTAGGGATTTAGCCCTCTGTAGTGTGCTGTTTTTTCTGTGTTGATTTCCATATTTGTGAAGTACATCAACACACTTGATCTCGTGATCACAATGATATTGTCCATCTGTTAATGCTTAAGTGATCAAATGTTTTTTGACAGCTGTACATATTGTAAACTATAGCACAATTCAGGCTGCACTCCTGTGATGTTTTCTAAATTCTAAAGTTCATCTGAATAAAGAAAAGTTGAACTCTGTGCCCAGCAGGAGGATTAGTACCTGCTTCGATGGCCTTGGTCAGGCACTCGTGCGTCACACGGACCAACTTTCTGCTGGCCTCGTCAACTTTCCCCACAAAAAATGTCTCGTTCAGATCTCCATGGAAACCTCTGTGGTACACAGTCACGTCAACTGGACAAAAACAGAACATTGTAGAATAAGTTAGTTTTCCTGAGTTGATGTCTTCCTAGCTCTAAGTACAGGACTGGAACAACTGATGAGAGTTGGCAAGACAGAATGTGTGATCTCTCACCAAAGTGGTGATGTCACCCACCAAAGTGGTGATGTCACTCACCAAACTGGTGATGTCTCTCACCAAAGTGGTGATGTCACCCACCAAAGTGGTGATGTCACTCACCATTGACAATGTCGCCATCCTGTAGGGGTCGAAGGTCAGGAATGCCGTGGCAGATGACCTCGTTCACAGAGCTGCAAAGCATTGTGGGATAGGTAAGCATCGATATGTCAGATGTCAGTAATAGAAATAGGCTGATTTTAAGGATGAGAAATAAAGTTGCACAGTTGCCGTTGGGGCCATCATGACTCATTTTGCCAAAAAAGACCAAATCTGACAGAAAAGTTTCCTTACGTGCAGCATGACTTGGGAAATGTGTAGTTACTTACGTGGGAAATGTGTAGTTACTTACGTGCAGCATGACTTGGGAAATGTGTAGTAGTTGAGTGGAGAAGGGTAGCACTCCCGGTCAACACTCGCCTGCAAGGACAGAACATCAGTCCACTAAACATTAACTTCTGGTGGAAATAGTTGATATTATATTGGATGGCAAGAAACATTTTGTCACGCATCAGTAAAGTCTACTGTGAATAAGGTCACGTGTTTGTCACCGTAACTCTCGCGAGATCATGTTGTGAAGTGATTGGTCATTAATTATCCTAATGAAGGCAACAGTGGTCGCTACAAATTTGATCTCTGTGTAAACTTTGTGTTGGAATGAAGTCCAAAGTTTTACTATGATTACTACCAGCACAGATGAATTGTCATGATAAAACATATTGTGTCTGCAACAATCCTGAGGAAGACTGCTCACCTCATGCACCTCTAATGCTCTAAATCACACCATTCAGCCTCAGTGACTGCCATATATGATATAATGATATACAATCCTAAAGGAAACTCGCTGCTCACCTCATGGACCACTCTGTCTATCTCATCTGTCGTCATGCCGACCGCGATGGCCGCCGCTGCAGCATCCAAAACCTCCCGGCCAAGCTGCAGGGGCATCGAAGATATGGAGAGGGGGTTACAACATGTATATTTCATAATGTTTTTTATCATTCATCTTACCCAACAAGCAACTCTCATGTAAGTTTTGTTCTTACCTGGTTAGGTGGGGTACATGGTTAGTTTTACGGAAGGGGGGTGCATGGTTGGGACGTACGTGGTTGGGGGGGCAGGGGGTACGTGGTTAGTTTTACGGAAGGGGGGTGCATGGTTGGGGGGATACATGGTTACAGGTGGGCTACAAGGTTAGGGAAAGGGGATGCATGTTTTGTACTTACCCGACAAGCGACCCTCATGCCTTCTATCTCCTCGTCTGACAGAACTCGGATTTGTGTGCTGCCTTTCAGCGCAAGCTCACTAGAGGGCACCCCTGCACAGATAGGGGGGTACATGGTTAGGGGGGTACATGAACCCGGCTCTGTGTGCTGCCTTTCAGTGCTAGCTCACTAGAGGGCACCCCTGCACAGAAATGGCACATCCGTGGGTCAAGGGTCATTACTAGACACTTGTGAAGATACTACTTGTACTTGTGATGCTTTATATCTTTACAGAGCAAAATTTTAAATTCCGGTGGGTACACGTCTTAGTCACAAAATAAGTCAACGAGCTATATAGTATTACCTGTTATGGAATAGTTTTCACGTTATTATGATAAAAATATTTGAGACAAGTGTTACCCTCCGTGTGGTCTGCATAGTCAGGCCGGGGAATGTGGTCAGGCACTTCTCGCTTCGCACTCTGGAAACAGAAACAGACAGTAACAATACAAACATACATGTATGTACAATACAGCTGTATAGTCTTAATTCTAACATCCGAATTCGATGGTCAAAGTTTCGATTGCGCGCGAAACGTGTTCGATTAAAAAATCAAGCAACATCTTTTAAAGTCAAGACAACAGAACAGCTACAACTTACTTCTTTGGTCCAAGCTTTCACCTGAATTCTATATGGAACATTTGGAAGCCCGGGCCGTACCGCTAGTTATCACACGGGCCGGAACACCCGTATCGAACGTAATCGCGGCCCAGGTATGACATAAATATAGAATACAACACAAGATATTCCGTATCACCCGAGGTACCAGCCCGACCGCACGTCGGATCGCCCAACGGCCGAAGGCCGGAGGGAGATCCGATCCGCGGGAGGGCTGGGACCGAGGGTGATGCGGAATACACCGTGTTGTATTTTATTTATGTCATACCCACCCAAGAAAACACGTCTTTCAATGCAAAATGAGCGAAAATTTGGTGTCCCTAACCCAAAAAACGCTACAACATCAATCCCAACGTCCGAATTTGTATATTCGAATTTTCGAAAGCGGTGCAAGCGGTTAGGGCGAAACGCGTTCGAATCGTTCTATGGAACATTTGGAAGCCCCGGGCCGTACGTGATAAGAACCCCCGGGCCGTACCGCTAGTTATCACACGGGCCGGAACACCCGTATCGAACGTAATCGCGGCCCAGGTAGGACATAAAGTACAGTATGTACTTACCAGTGGATATGGCCGTACTTTGCCAGTGAACCTGTAGCCAGGCCAGGGGTTGTACTTCTGTGGAGACTGGGCAGCAGCACTTTCTGCAGTCTTGATGGCCGCGACTTTGTGCAGCTTCTTGTGTGAACCCCAGCTGCCCTTAAAGCAGTCCTGATGGGATCAAACACGCGGATCAGACAGATAATTATTACACAGACAACTGACTTGTTATCATACAATAGTGTAACCAAGTCGCCACGCCTGGGTTTTACCCCGCCCCCTCCCCACACGCTTTTAGCAGCGATCTGAACCCGGCCTGCGGAAACTGCCCCACCTGATAAACCTGCCCCCCTCCCCACACGCTAACGTAAAACCTGGCTACAAACAGCACCGATCTGAACCCGCCCGTGCGGAAACTAACGTTTAACCTTACCTGAGAGCAGAAGAACGACCCGGGAATGCCGAGCTGGAGGCACTTGGGGCACTGCAGCCGCGCGGGGTTCGAACAACCGTCCGTTTCGCACACACGACTCGCCGTCTCCGCAGCCGCCATCTTGCCTAAAGGTCACGACCTTACACAAGGGACCGCCCAAAAACATAACTGGGGAGGGGGGGTTTAAAAGTTCGGATTTCATATAGGGGGGTTATATATTGGTGTTGATTTTGTTGGATTTGGATTGAGGGGGGTCAAGCAAACTCTGGATTTGTAAATTTGCTCTGAATTTGGTATTTTACAAGGGGCAAACTCTGGATTTGGATGAAATTATAGGGGGTCAAGTCACTTGACTTGGCTTGATTTGGATGTAACTTTTAAGGGGGGCAATGCACTTGAATATGGATGAAATGAAAAGGGGGTCTTCAAGACACTCGGTTGATAATATTAAAGGAGTCAGAAAGTAGAAAACCCAACTCTTCAACCCACCCTCCTTTTTTTTGGAACAGCCCAAGTTCCTAGCCGGGTCAGAGGTCACAAACATGGCGGCTGAATAAACGTCGTCTGCAGCTGAGGACTAAATTTGGGCAACAAACGCCGAGAGTTAAATACCTGGAGCTACAAATTGACTCTGGACTGGACCAAGCACAAACCAGCAACAAGGGACCACGTCTAGCGAGATATTAAACGTTAAATAAGGACAGAAATAGCGACAACATGCAGTAGCTTACCGTACCCAGCGTGTGTTCCGGAGGTTACTAAGAATGGCCGCAGCTTCCGTAACGCGGGTTGTGCGGCGGTGTGAGGAGGCGAAATCCGACGGCAACCTGGGTACGTGTACAGGTACAGGGCTGGGGCGGGTACTGTGTAACAGTAGCTGTGTAGGGGCTGTACAGCTGTGTCACTGTCACAGTGTTAGCAGTGTGGAAATCTATGCATAATTTCTGAACGTTTGTTGCTATATCTACAGACCTTGCCTCCTGTGAGCTGACTAGTTTCCCCGTGTTTGTTACAGACCTGGCCTCCTGTGAGCTGACTAGTTTCCCAGTTGCCGTGTACCAGCTACTGAGGAACACAGAAGTGCACTGCTGCATTCTGAACAGCAACCTGCTCAAGCTGCTGCCCAAAAGGCTCCCTGCACAGTTCCCTCATCTGCAAGGTACTCATGCCTACATGTATGTCTGTACAGTTTCAAGTTTATTTATTTCACCAGGGAATACCTCAGACCCATTGATCTGCTTTTCAGGTATCCCTGGGCACACATTAAGACATACAATTTCATGAAAATACAAATTGAACCCAACAATATACCGAAACGTTACAAACATGTACATTATTATATATACAACACAGTCACATTATAGGCACATATAGTTCATTTTCCAAATTCAGTCCTCAAATTCAGTGTGAGTAGAATGTGAAGATTGTATGTAGTATGTAGTCTATGTTCATGTACAGTATGTGTAGTTATAGTATACCTGCATCTTCAGCAGTTGTAACCACAGCCATGTTTGTGTTTTAGAGCTGCAGCTGTCCAGGAACCAGCTGCAGAGTCTGCCTGCAGAACTTCAGCAGCTGCAGCAGCTGCAGAGGCTCGACATCTCGCACAACCGCTTCTCCATCTTTCCTGAGGCTGTGTTCCAGCTGAAGGCTCTTGTCAGTCTGAATGCTAGCAACAATGCCATCGTGGGTGAGTTTGTCACTCTTAACACTAGCAACAATGCCATCGTGGGTGAGTTTGTTACTCTTAACACTAGCAGCAATGCCATCGTGGGTGAGTTTGTCACTCTTAACACTAGCAACAATGCCATCGTGGGTGAGTTTGTTACTCTTAACACTCAAAGCAACAATGCCATCGTGGGTGAGTTTGTCACTCTTAACGCTAGCAACAATGCCATCGTGGGTGAGTTTGTCACTCTTAATGCCAGCAACAATGCCATCGTGGGTGAGTTTGTCACTCTTAATGCCAGCAACAATGCCATCGTGGGTGAGTTCGTAGCTCTTAACACTTAACATGGCTTCCATAGAACAATGTGAATGTATTTCACCCTAACCGCATGTGCTGCTTTTCAAAAATCGGTATACAGAATTCGAATGTTGGAACTGATGTTGTTGCATTTTCGGGTTTAGGGACAAAGTGTTGGCTCATTTTGCATTTAAAAGCGCGTTTTCTTGGGCAGGTATGACATAAATATAATACAACAGGGCCCTCCTCCGACCTTTGGGCAATCGGACGCGCGTTTGGGCTGATACCTCGGGTGATACGGAATACCCGTTTGTATTGGATATGTTCTGATGTATGTTTCTCTGGCAGGGGTAAAATAAATGTACATGTACACGTGGGAGTGTATACACAGTTCTGATATATATCAGCATGTATACGTGGGAGTGTATACACAGCTCTGTATGTTTCGCCTGCAGGGGTTCACGTTGGGAAGCTGGGTGGGATGAAGTAACATAAATGTACATGTGGGAGTGTGTATGCACAGTTCTGATGTACATTTGTACAGTGAACATGTATATCGGCATGTATACATACACAGTTCTGATGTATGTTTCTCCGGCAGGGGTTGATGTTGGGAAGCTGGGTGGGATGGAGTCGGTAGCAGACGTGGACCTCCAGGCAAACCCGCTCGCCGAGGCTGTTCACAATGACCTTCAGCAACTACCCAGGCCCAAGGTCACGGTCAGCCCCTGGGAGGAACACTTCCAGGACATGGAGTAGCCCCTCACTTCCATATAAGGACATGGAGTAACCCCTCACTTCCAGGACATGGAGTAGCCCCTCACTTCCATATAAGGACATGGAGTAGCCCCTCACTTCCATATAAGGACATGGAGTAGCCCCTCACTTCCAGGACATGGAGTAGCCCCTCAATCCAGGACATGGAGTAGCCCCTCACTTCCATATAAGGACATGGAGTAGCCCCTCACTTCCATATAAGGACATGGAGTAGCCCCTCACTTCCAGAACATATAGAATAGCTGCAGTTACTGTTACAGTAGTATTTTGTGAATTAAATGAAGACTTTGCGCTCTCCTGAATAAAGAGACTCTTTTTACACAACCAGGATGTTCTCAGTTGACATTTTTTCATGACTGTCTGTCACCTCCCTCATCGCAAATCTGACTGGTTCACATTACACATCACAGGGTCGCTGGGAAGTATTTAATCACCTTAGTTACAGAAGCTGACTGACAATGTAACATTTACAAAGCTTTTATGCGTATTATGTGTATTTAATCACCTTGGTTACAGGAGCTTGAGTGACAATGTAACATTTGCAAAGCATTTATGGGTGTGTGTGAGGATGGATTTCATAGGATACGGGAATACAACAGGAAGTAGGCAGCTTCTGTCCTGTTGATTGTTGCCGGTTACTGCAAGGAGGTTAGAATCGGTCCCGAGTGGAAGGAACCAAGGACCATGAATCATGGGATATCAAAAAAGGAGTCAAATTTACTACCGTCAGCTGTTCTAGAAGTTTGAAATGGTCAATGCCCATTTTTCTTTGCATGGTTTCTCTGGTTGGTTATCACGTATACATATATACGTGTACGTGTGGTGATGAATGTTTTAAAGATACGATAAGAGTAAAACGACTCCTAATGCAGCATCAGGAACACTGTACAGTAATATATCATGTCCAACTGATTTTTCCAGTTGCTTGAATCTGGCCTATATTGTGTTACCGGTTCTGTTAGTTCATTAGTCAGACGCTGAAGTAGAGTGATGGATGTCACTCCAAACGTCCGGAAATTATCTCCGTAATTTATCCCGTAGTTAGAGTTTGAATTCCCCATGAGTAATAAGAGATGCTGCAAATCACACATCGAACATTCACAGGTTTAATCTGACGCAGATACTAATGAGTCGGGTATGATGTAGACATCTGCCGCCGGCGTAACAAGGCCGTGTTAAGGCTCGCATTAGCTTGCACTGATTCCCAACACCGCCTTTATCATTAAGTACGTAATAAATATAATAATACATCCATCAATGTCCAAATCACAGCTAATGAGGAAATCTACATGCGTCGGACCAGCACAAAACGTCTACACGAGTCTCACTAAGGTCCGCGTGACAAAATGTACAAAATCTCTGTAATTTTCGCACAGAATACGTGTCTGTGTACATATATATGTGCCTTTGGTTAATTTCTATAAACCTCCGATCTATAATTGGACCTATTATCGAGAAGCATTAATACTCAAGGGTTCTTGTGATGGGCAATGATTTCCAGAGAAAGTCGAGCCTCACGGACAGAGCTTTAGACCACATACACTTGGTCCGTCTTTTCTGCACATAAATTTTATATATCAGCAGCAATAATAATCAGCTTGCATTTCAATGATGCCAAACCTCTCGACACTACAGCTGTGTGATCACCAGAGTCTGTGTTACGGACCTACGCTGCACGGGAGAACACACCAAGACTAAAATCGCAATCACCAAACAAAACGTACATGTCCTCATCTGTTCTATATGACATCTCTGTTTAAATAGTAAACCACACTACGTGTCAGTTGCTACATTGCTGCAGCAGCACTACAACTCACATAGCTACACTTTCATCACGCAATGCCATATAAACACATATATAACAGTAAAGTTTCTTTGTTCATGGTTTACACCGTGTTGGCTCTGTTAAACCGCTTTCCGACGAAGTGACTGATTGGACTCACGGAATTTTGGACCAGTCATTTGACCCCTGACCCATCCTCATCAAGATTATTGGGGACCGGGTGCACAGGTCACATGTTTTTTCCGCAGCCTGCGGGCCAAAGGTGGTTTGTAGTAAGTAGCGGCCCCCGTCCCGGTCCAATGCTGGTTTATGGCTCCTGATGTCATTAGCTAGTATTTACCTCCCCTATCGGAATTGTCCCGTTCAGTGTCCAGTATCTTGACGATATCCGTTGAATAAAACAATGAAAATGAAAGCAATGCCTTTTGGTCACATCGAAGTTCCGTCACGTCAGAACACGCCACAAAGGTCA